CAAGGTAGACAGGCCAAGGACCGAATACAGGTAGATTTTTACTTTAAGAAACTACTGTTAGGAACCTTAGTTCAGCAGGATAAGATCATTTCCTCGGTTGGGTTGATAGCTCTCACTAGCAAAGTTTTGCATATGTGGATATAAAGACTGCTCTCGTGAAAAGTCCTGTTTAACAGAGCCTCTCCTTAGTCCTATTCATTGTGAAGTTTCTTTAACAGTGTGTTTTCCTTTTGGTGAAATATTTATGCGGTGGCTGTACTTAATTATCTTACCAAGTTAACAGTTGAATATTCTTAATAAAATGTGAGGGTGTTTTTTTCCAAAATGTTGAACTGTCCACTTCAATATATTTTGTAACCATACACACCACATAGATACATATATATGTGTATATCTATATATGTACAGATATATAGCTTTCCTATGAAGTATATACTAATTGGATATGTATTAAAGGATGTTTTCTGGCTATTGGGGCTATAAAATGACAGGTAGGATAAAAACTAAGAAGCTTAAGTACAGCCCTGAATTTCTTTTTCAAACCACACATATGTCATAATAGTCCACAGTAAGCAAGTAGTTTGGTCATTTTGCAAGATTTGAGGTTTCAGATCAAAACCTCTCTAGAACCCAAAGCAAGGAAGTACATATCAGTATCCTTCTGTCCCATAGTCCTCAACTACAAATGCTCCCAACATCATCAAAGCAGTGCTTTGGGTAATAGCTTAAACATTATTAAGACTATCTCAGGGGTGCCTGTGTGGCTCAGTGGGTTAAAGCCTCTGCCTTCGGCTCAGGTCATGGTCCCAGGGTCCTGGGATGGAGCCCCACATTGGGCTCTCTGCTCAGCAGGGAGCCTGCTTCCTCCTCTCTCTCTGCCTGCCTCTCTGCCTACTTGTGATCCCTGTCTGTCAAATAAATAAATAAAATCTTGAAAAAAAAAAAGACTATCTCACGTTGCATTCAGATACAGTTAGAAAGCAAGAACAAGTTAAACATAGGTAGAGCAGTATTTCATCTTTCAGATGACATAGTTTGGAAACCAGCAAAACCCTCCCTTTAGCAAATCAGCCTTCCTCACCCATCAAACCTTGTGTGTTTGTGTTCATGTGGCCAAGGAGGGGGAGTGGGCTTTCATGTAAATCAAGAATATAACCATTGTCTCTCTACTGGGACCACAGCTTCTATTTGAAGGAGGAGGTGTGCTTACAAGAATGATGTTAATATTCCTTTATGTTAGTTAAAACAGGCTTCTACTTATAATACCAACTCTAGTAGCTCCCATGAAAATTATGGGAAGATTTTGTGAATCAGTGACCCTTACCTTTCCAAATGAGTTTTGAATGACCTAGGTATCTCTGACTAAGATTATCTTTTACATAAGATGGAATTCAAGGTCTTTTGGTGCTGAAAATATCCATGTAGATTCCTTATCTAGTCTATTAAAAAAAAGAAACCCTAAGCCCCCTCCCCCCTTTTTTTTAAATTAAGACGTTGTGCCTGGGGTACCTGGGTGGCTCAGTGGGTTAAGCGTCAGCGGCCTTCGGCTCAGGGGCTCAGGTCACTATTCCAGGGTCCTGGGATCAAGCCCCACCCCCATGGCGGGCTCCTTGCTCTGCGGGAAGTCTGCTTCTCTCTCCTGCCCCTCCTCTCACCTGTGCTCTCTCCCCTCCCTCTACCTTTCTCTCAGATAAATAAGATCTTCAAAAAAAGAGGGTGTGCTCAACCTTAAGATGAAATCATTAAGTCAGACTCGCTAGCAAAGTCAAGGGAGGCTATGGCAGAGGAAAAAGCCACACAGGAAGAAAGGATAGGAAAGACAAAAGGGCTCATGAATCCCACAGGGAGTGGCAGTTCAGGAGCAAACTAGAAATTGAGTGGCAAACGAAAATTAGAGCATCTTTTAAGTGAACCAGCAATAAGAGATCTTTTATTTTACCACAGGTAAGGAGCAAGCCAGAAAATCAGTGGGCTCATGGAACATAAAGGATTAAATGGAGATAGCAGATACACTACATGACTTTTTTTTACATGAGTAAGCCATTCCTATGTTGACTCTATCTTTTGAGGTAGGCAGATGGGTCAGAGGTCATAGTAGAAAAAGGGCAAGAGACTCTGCTTCCCAGCAACAAGCTACAAGCAGTCAAAAACAGAATGACGAACTAAGTGATATAGTTACCAGGGCTGAACCTCTATAAAACCACTTAGTTGGCAAAGAGTGGTTTTTTTTTTTTCTGTGCCTCTTTCCCTAACTGCTCTACTAACCCAGTTCCTGCTCCTCTGAACGCTCAGAGTGCTTGTGCTCTAACCCTTTCAAAATCTGCTATCAAGAAAGCATATATCTCTGGCAGAGTGAAGGTTAGGAGGAGGGGTTGTGGCAAAATTCCATTTTAAGGCCTCATTGTAGAATAAAAGTGCATTTCCTGTTAAAGGAATTTCAGGCAACAGATGGGAGAGATGTTTGGGTCAGGAAGCTTTCTTGGCACCTTTGGAATCAGAGCTGCCTTCACGTAACGCCCTGAGCACACTTGACTTCTGAAAGAAATCAAAGGGGACAATTATTGTACCTCTAATGAAAATCCGGAACCTGTTATCCTGGATGATCAGTGTGTAGATTGGTGGTGTGCCTCCACGAGGCAAAAGGGGCCCTGGGAACCATAAGGTGATGAGTGTCTGGTACTTTAGGAAGCAAGCTGGAAGAATGTTTAGTCAGTGCTGGCCTCCCATACACTACAGTGGGGGCAGCAAGATGGTTTCTATAAAGGGAAGTCATATGTGATCTTCCATGGATCTTTTCTTTGGGGCTAAATTCACTTCTTATTTATTATTTATTATGTATTTTTAAAAGATTTTATGTATTCATTTGACAGAGATAGAGAGAGAGAGAGAGAGAGACAGCCCGAGAACACAAGTAGAGGGAATGGCAGAGGGAGAGGGAGAAGCAGGCTCCCCAATGAGCAGGGAACCCAACGTGGGGCTTGATCCCAGGCCCCTGGGATCATGTCCTGAGCTGAAGGCAGATGCTCAACCATCTGAGCCACCCAGGTGCCCCTAAACTCACTTAAAAAAAAAAAAAGGATTTTATTTATTTATTTCACAGGGACAGACACAGTGAGAGAGGGAACATAAGCAGGGGTAATGGGAAAGGGAAGAGCAGGCTCTCCGCGGAACAGGGAGCCCCAATGTGGGGCTTGATTCCAGGACCCTGGGAATCATGACCTGAGCTGAAGGCAGACGCTTAATGACTGAGCCACCCAGGTGCCCCCCTAAATTCATTTTTTAAATGCTTCTAATTAAGTCTGATACTGAGGCTATATTAAAACAGGAATTACTATGGGATTAAACATTTTTTTTTATCCTGTAGTAGGAACTGGTTTAGAGAAAGAGAAAATATAAGGGAGCAACAGACATTATGCTCATGGAAGGAGGGTGAGTAGGAGATTTCCTTGGGAGTGGACACTCCCCAGGTCGGCAGACAATACTTAGCTCTTCTAGGTAGTGAAATGCCAGACTGATGGGGGGCTAAATGAAGATCTCAAGAGGTTTTACGATTGGCAGATGGGCTTCAATAGGGGCACGTGTAAGGTAATCTATTTAGGGAAGGCCAGATACTACAAACTCTCCCTGCAGGATGGTGGGTGCTGACTTTTCATTTAAGGCCCAGGAACTAGCAAGCTCTAGGAAACCCCATGGACACAGACAGCACTGAAGAGAAAAACCGAGTTTCTTGCTATGGTGAAAAAAGGACAGCAAAGTGTTGAACACTCGCAAGAAGGGGATTAAAAGAAAAACAAAATAATTCTCCTTTTACACAGCACCACAGGATATCTTCATTGGTGAAGTTACATAAGCAGCTCTGATCTGCACATCTCAAGAAGGACAGAACAGAGCCTGAGGGGAACAAAGAAAGGCAATTAAAACCATCAATGGCAGGCTCCAAAAATAAAGGCCTTTTCAGTCTGACAATACAGAGGTAGCCAGGGGACATGATCAAAATCATGAAGAGGCTAGAGCTGCTGCTTGATGACTTGGCTTGCCAAATCTCTTGAGCTAAGAGGCACCTTTGAAGCATACAGTTTTTATTTTTTAATACTTCTGCTTTGTTTTTACAACTGCTGGTGATGATGGCCAGTGCAGGCTCCTTTGGGAAGCCCCTGTTTCCACCAGAGGGTGGGAGAAATCTGAGCTGAGTGGGGTAGGAATCAAAAGCACCTCCATCCCCATTACTTACCTTAAGTAATGTTGACTTGCTGACTTCTAGTCCGACCTACTCTCTCTCCTGCCAATGTCAGCAGTGAATTTGTACCGGCCAATCGCAATTTTTAAGAATATGAGTTTACCCCCACCTCCTTCCCTGTTCTGTAGGGCTTTTCAGACCCAATGGTCTACACCAAACTGTCTGCCTACAAGTGGCTGTAATTTGATCCCTAACCACAGTGTAAAAAGAACAGATTTCTGACCTCAACTGTAACACAAAGGATAGAACTCAAGAATAATTTGATCCTTAACCACAGTGTAAAAAGGACAGATTTCTGACCCCAATTGTAACACAAAGGATAGAACTCAAGAACTCGTAATGAAGAACTTTCTAATATTCACACCAGTGGATGCAAGCAGATCTCCATAATGGGAAGCAGAAATGAACACTGCCAGGCTAATGAAATGACATACATGCAGGTTTTAGCTAAGAAAGTAGCAGACAAGGGATAACCCAGGCCAGCTTGGAAGCTCTGCTCTTGGGATGACCTTAGTCAGATGGGGCAGCAAGTCAGAGCAAACCAAGAGTGTGGCTCTGTTCCAAACACTCAGCTCTCCTAAACAAGGGATGACAACCTGATCGATGAAGTATAATGAGCAGTGTACAAAAGCTACATAGGTATACCGTGGTGATTTTTTCCCCCCAAGCTCTTCCTTGAAGACAAGAATGCTGTGAGATTGGGGGCCCTTTCATCCTAAAGAAATGTGATGCACTTGTTACTGGCTCAGTGTTACTACTGTACCTTTCACAGATGTGGTAATACTTCTCGTCCTGTATGCCATCCTGAATGGGTACGTTAACACTGTAGTACCGTCCCTTCCCTAGGCCAACATCAGACATGTCACCTGTTCCTGTGAAAGAGAGGAGCATCAGGAGCGGTTTTAAGGGCACAAGCATTAGAAAACTCGAAGGATTCTCTGACAGGAGTCCAGGACAATAAAAGGTCAATTAGAAGAATGGTCCTGGATTTGTGATGATTTCTAAGGAAATGAAATTAAGACAAATAATTCAGAGAAGTAACTGTTGTAAACAATGTTGGGGAAAGAGGAAAATCATAAGAAAATGGAAAAACCTTAGTTTCCACTTGGCTAGATCAAATTAAATAACAGAAAAAGATGCACTCCTTTGCTTGGTTTTCCATATGTCTTGGATTGATCTAATATTAGTATGTCATTGCACTTATCAGGATGTTAGGAGTTACACAGGGTATCTGATAGGACAGTAAGTGTAAGTGAGCTGTCTGTTGACAGTCCATAAAAGGCATCTGGAAAAAGAAACAGTATTACATTCCTATCACCGTCACCCGAAAGGACCTGTGTTAAAATTCTGCACAGAGTAACATCAATAAAGTACCACCGGCACAGAACTCTCCAAATACAAAATGTAAGGATGCAGAGAAGAGCTGCAGCATTTCTTCTTCAAATGTAATACTGAACACACAGGTTACTTGCCTGGGAAAAATCCCGGGGAGAATTTGTGCAGGGACACTGTCATGACTTTGGAGGTGAAACTGAAGGCATCTTCTACACCTATCAGAGGGGGAAAAAAAAACAGCAGAAGAATCACTTTATATATGCAACTCCCGGTTTGCGACAACTGAAATGCTAGGAAGCAGCTGTGGAAAGTAAGAGAGAGGATAGCAATAATAAAGCTAACAAGCTGAGGAGTAAAAGGAACAAGACCCTTCAGTCTTTGATCTCTGTTGTTACAGGATGAGGTAGAACTCTGGCCCCAAGGGAAGTTTTGGGGTTCCTTTTCAAATGCATGGCAAGTTGTAATTGGACTTGCCCTTTCCAAGCAACAGGATGTCCAGGCTCCCTTAGACAACCTCTTCTAAAAGGTGTGGAAGGCTTGAGCTCAGAATCGAAGCATTATCAATAGAGCTGAATAGAGGGAACTGGCACCATCTTGGAAGTTTTATGTTTTGTTTTGTTTCAGTGGTTCTAGTTAAATTCTTGGGATTTTTTTCCCCCCAAAGAAGTACAACGTGGCAATCCTTTGAAAAATACGACCAATACAAACAGTAGGCATCATGTAGTGAAAACCTAATGATAAAGTGCTTCTCTGTGATACAGATTTGGCTATAAATGCAGTTCACCCAAAGTCTAAGCAGCTTGGAGTACATCTTTCTTGCCAAAACATGGAAGGCTAACAGTCCTGGCTCCTCCCTTAATAGCACCTTTATAATTTTAAAGCTTGAAGAAGGAAGGCTGGGGAGAGCGCTTTTCTAGAAAGGAGTCTCCCTTCCATTTAAACAGAGGCAGAAAATGAATAGAGGCCTGGGAGAAGGAAGTAACTGTTACGAGCCACTACTTAATTTCAGATAAATGCACTGCCCACCTCCATACCTTTCTTCCCAGAATCACATATGGTCATACTATATTCAGAGAGTCCATTTGTAAAATGGAAGGACTATTAGCAAATTCATGTACTATCCTCTTTTATACTTCAAATAAAGAAACTGTCGCTGTGTTTACTTAATGCTTTCAGTCTTCATTAGAGGCCAAAAGAGACCTTAGAAAAATAGTAACTGTATTTGTGTATCACAGGTCTGTTTGAATTTCCCAAGCCTTATGTTTTGCCCTAGGGAGGCAGTTAAAACCAGTTAAAGGCTCCAGGCACAAGGCATTAAGTAAACAAAATAAAACAAAACAAAACATATTAAAATTGCATTTTAACTTAGAAACTGAAGTATAAACAAGGACAATTCATAAAAATCCTGATTATTTCTTGATCCAGAAAGGTGGTACCAATTTATCCTTCTATCGGTGGTGTATGAGGAGGGTTCCCATTTTCTCACACCCTGACTAGCAATGGGTGCTATTATTATTAAACTTAGGCAGAAAATAGGATCTTGTTTAGTTTGCGTTTCTCTGAGTGTTAGTGTGTTGAGGACCTTTTCGTATGTTTAGTAGTTCTTTGTATCTCCTCTCATGGGAAATGCCATTAGGTATTGTTAGCAAATCATACTTTAAAAAAGGGACATAGACAGATAGGTGGAGGGTTATGGGGCTTGGTGTGAAAGAGAACAGTGGTTAGGTAAACAAAAGAAGGTGAAAGAGAGTGAGGACAGGCTAAGAGTGCTGGTGAAGCCACCACAGGATGCTGGTTATGGAATCATGGGAGATTTAAAATAAACCAAATGTGTAAGAGTTTGGAGGCAGGGCAGAGGTCACTGGAAGGGAGGTGCTGAAGAGGGGAAATAAACTGAAATGAAACACACCATAAAAGTTGGCTAAAACAGGAAACTCTAAATGGTGTAGAAATAACATTGCAAATGGAAAGAACGGTTTCAGGTGACAGTCATTTCATTCTTACGTGGTTCAATAGAGTTGATTCTATTCTTGAGCTCTGATACTAATAGTTTGAATTTCATACTCATTCATTCATTCAACAAATATTTTACTGAACCACTGCTATATGCATAGTTCTGTTTGTTCAAGCCATTGTGCAGGACAGAAAGAAGTAAACAACTTGATCTCTGCTCTGGAGGAACTGAAAGTTTCTATGGGAGGAGAAGACATAGACACATTAAAGATTTAACTAACAATACAAGACAATATATAATTAAATAGCAAATCAGCGATATAAACAGTACAGGACTTGAGGAGGGGAGAGAACTTTCGGGCTGGAGTGGTTAGGGCAATTGTGCTACTGTTGGAACTTGAGCTCCTGGACAGAACTTGGAGGAAAAAGCAAAACTAAGTTAGGAAAGAATAATGCAAAGTCAGGGATGGGGGCAGGAGCACTGAGACCTGTCTGGGGATTACTGAGTGGAGCAGCCTGGACAGCAGGTAGTGAGCGAGAAGACTGGAGAGAAGAGGCAAGGTCTCTTTCAGGCAGGCCTCAAAAGACAGGGCAAAAAGTGTGGGCTTTACCTCGAGGAGCATTGCTTTTTAAAGTGTGGCCTGTGGACCAGCTGGACTGTGGCTAAAATGTAGCTTCTTGCGTTTCGTAACCAGACCTACTGAATCTGAGTATCTGGTGGATGTGGTCCAGGAATCTGCATTTTAAAACAAGCTTCCCGGTGTCACCACGCTACATATGTGAGTTTGAGAACCAGTGCTACAGGCCAAGGGTTGGCCAACCAAGGGGCTACGTGGCAAATATTTTAGGCTTTGCCAAGGCTTCATGGTCTTGATTGCTTTTTTTTTCCTTTACGACCTTGTAAGAATGTAAAAAATTTAAAATAAAATAAAATAAAATAAAATAAAATAAAAGATAAAATTCTTAAATTGCTGGCCATACAAAAACAAGCCATGGGCCAAATGTTACCCTTGTTAGAGGCAATGAGGAGCCTCTGAAGGTTTTTGAGCAAAGGCTGAGTTCAGTGTTGGCGGAGTATTCACACATTCAGTGGGCATGGTTCTCAGAGTGGTATGTTGGTTGTTTTAACTCTTTTCTCTGTTACCTTTAATTTTCTGTCACCATTCCATGGTAGCATCCATCTAGATGAACTCCTTGGGGAGGTCTCCCCCACAATTTCTTCCTTCTTTTTCTGTTTTGGCAGGAGAGCTGATCCTATCCTCTGTCATATACTATTCTTTTCCTCACTTATGCCTTGATTATGTTAGTTTGTCTCCAAAAATCCCTGGAAACAGGGAAGCAGCAATCACTGGTGTGGGGGAGAGGAGGGAATATCCTTAATTAATTTTACCAGATAAGTGTTCCTAGGTCAATGGAAACATGGGTCACACACAGGATTTATTAAAGAAACAGCAAGTGGGTAACTGTCCCTGAAGCTCTACATTCTAGATGGAAAGTACATAGGAGGGCTTGGGTTACACCCTTCTGGTGGAATCTTCTAAGGGGGCATTAATGGTCTGAGGCAAGTCAAGATTCTGCTGCTGTTAAAAGTTACAGGAGATGCCCTGAGTTTGTGCAGCACTAGATATTTCGACATTACAAAGAAAGTGGCACAGATTCTGTTCACTGCATGAGTTGATATTCCTGTTGGTGAAAAATTCAGAGTGTTAGTCTATCATACACTCATTCAATCTTAAGAGAAGGAACGAGACTGTCAGCTGTAACTGCCAATTTCACTTAGAATCTATGCAAGGGGCCTGAGGGAGGTTACTGAGCACTGAGTATACACTGGACGAGATTCCCACTTCTTAACATTCTCTACTGGAGAACTTTGCTGGTGGAGGAGAAGGGAGGGGAAATCACAGGAACCTGGTATTCTAAAGCATCTTGGTCAGCATAGGAGGAATTACATTAGTTAGAAGAATCTTTCTTCTACCTACATTAGGATTCTCAATTAGAAAAATTTCAATTGCAACAGGCATTTCTCCTTTTACCAGTCGCCTAGAAGCAGCTTTACTGATAAAAACCTTCTGTCCTAGCAGCAAAGCACCTTTGAAAGTGAAGGGCTTACCATCTCCATGGTGCAGATCCAAATCCACATAGAGAATACGGTCAAATTTCCGTCGCAATCGTAATATTCCCAGGACAGCATCATTGAGATAACAAAACCCAGATGCTTCATCTCTGTAAGAAAACAAGTTGCTACAGCCAAGAGCCAAAAGCAATCCAAGGGAGTCTTTACAGCCAAGGATCTAACCCCTGAGATCTATTCCCTTACAATTCCCCCTTCTTTTAAGAAAAACAAAAATCTACCTACACAGATTACAGAATAAAATGGCTCAGAATGATCAGAAGATGGAGTGTTTGGGTAAATTACACATTCAAGTTGATTGGTAACATTTTCCAATTTAGGATCTCAGATTTTCAAAGAATTAGAATATTATAACTATATTGGACAAAATAGCACTTTTCTCTAATCATTCAGGAATGATTGTAAAAACCTGGGGTACCCTGGGGTCATCATGATGAATGCTGATTATCACTTATAGGACTTTAAGAAAGCTAGAATCTAGAAAGGGCTTTGAAGATCATCTTGCTCAGCCAGATGTAGAAGATGATGGAGATTGGAGTCTCTGTACTGAATCTATGACATAACCTAGAAGTTGTTTCTTTCTTGTTTGAGTAAGTTTTTGCACTTGTTGCTCATAAAAGCTGAGTGTAGAATGTACAAAAGCATAACCTCCTGGGCGGCATGTGGTTGCCTTTCGGTAAATGTGATTATTACAAGAAGACTAAAGCAGCCTCCTCTAAAGCTACTGTTTCCTTCACTAAAACTGTCTTCAGCGACTTCACTGGTGTCCTTTAACTTTTCCGCTATTGGTGATACCATGTCACTTTAACCTCTTTTCAACATTAACCTACTCTTTTATTAAAGAGTGACCTACTCTTATTAGCCTACTCTTTTTTATTAAGTCTTATTGAGTAAATGTAAAAGAGCATTCTTTATCATCAAAAGTGTATTACAGTTTATTTTTAAGGCCTCATCCTAAATGCTTCAATCTCTTCAGCTTCCACAGACATTTTAAATACTCAGCCCATCTTCCCCCCAAGTTCTCCCTGATAATTTGACTTGAAATAGAATTCTAAGCATGAGCATCATTTAAAATAGCATTTTCAGTACTATGAGATTGTAAGGCCTTCATAGTACCTACAGAATGCATAAACTTCTTCATGAAATCTCTTCCATAATAACATTTCATATTCTGAACAATACCCTGGTTCACAGGCTGAATCAATGAGACACGTACATTGGCAAGCAGGAAGTTGGTAGAAAATATCACTAAACATTGATTTTTCTCATGAAAGTGAACTCAGTGATCACCTAGCAAAAAATAGCTTGGCCTTAGATATGCAACCAGAAAGAAACCAATATGAGAAAAAGATTTGGCCACCCAAATTCTCTGTAAATAAGAGTTAAATATGTGACTTTGAAACTTTCTGGATGCTGTTTTCCAATCATGAAAAGCTTACATTTTATAAGTCTACTGTCTTAGCATATCAAAAAAGAGAAACATCAGTAACTTTTGGATAGGTGAGATGGGACATTAAGTGTTAGGCAAAAGAGGAGTGTACAGCATAGGGAATGCAGTCAATAATATTGTAATAACTTTGTATGGAGACAGATTGTAACTTATTGTGGGGATCGTTTCGTAGTGTATAGAAATGTTGAAACACTATCATATATACCTGAAACCAACAGAACACTGTATGTCAATTATACTTTAATAAAAACTAAATAAATAAAGGGGAGGGAGGAGGGGAAGAGGAGAAATGCAAATTAATACAGCACATACCTCTCCCCCTCAGAGCCCACAGTTAAGTCAGGGAGACAAGTCATAAGCACAGAAAAACAAAACCAAAAAACAAACAAGGCAAGCAGAAATAATACAGTATCTAAAGAAGAATACCAGTGTCTCTAAAAACCTCCTGGCCCCCTACCTTTCCTCTGAGATGTTATTTGTTACTGATCATCCTCTCTATGACAATAGCTTAGATAATATTAATAATGATGATGTCTATAATTCAGAAAGGCCTTTGAATGTAATATTTTCCTAATATGTTCTTAAAGGAGCTCTATTCTCACTGGATTATAGAAATAAGTGCTTAGATAAATAGAATATTCCTAAAGTTCCCAGAAAATAAGGAAATTAAACTTTGAATACTTTCAATGTGCCAAAAGAATATTCCTATAGAAACAAACTCAAATGTTTTAAGAATTCAAGTTGGCATAATTTAGGTAAATCTTTGGCAGACAAGACTGATTTAATAAATTTGGTTTACTAAAATCAGTTATGTCTTTTCTAATTTATCAGGGTTAAGTATAATATACATGTAGATTTTTATTCTATTTGAGTATATTCCTCCTAAATTTATACAGGTTTACTAATTAAATGAGCCAACATTACTTCTACTTAGTATTTGAGACTATGACAAATGTAAATTTGTTTAGCCTAATTGAGTCATTATTCTAAGGAAATTTATTGCAACAGCAATTATGTTTTGTAGTACGTCAGCTTGAAGATAATTTACAAGATCTTTAAGTAACTGAAAACTTTGGGCTGATATTAAATGAGTTAATTAATGGATATTCATTAGATACCTAGATCATTTCTAACTAAGAGAATGCATTAATTACTAAGCATAATTTTGGGTTTATATGCTTTTGCTTCTTTATTATTACATGCTACAGAGAAACTGTGTATTTGGGTCTGTTAATGAACATGTTCTTTTTGGTCACTTATATAAGTTGTACTATAAAGGATATGTATGCATACAGAAAACGGTAGAAGACTGACAGAAAGGGAATTTTATTTGTTGAGATCAAAGTTGGCTAAGGTTTGATGAGCTTATTTATCAGATTTCCAAAAAGAACTTCACTATCAAATATTATATACTGCTGCAAAACTAGAATTTGGTTTTCTCTTTGCTAAAACATAATTTTTTTTTACATTATTGGTCTTCTCTTAATAACAGGTTGCAAAGGTTTTGCTTCACTAAGTAATCCTCAATAACAGGCTGCAAAGGTTTTGCTTCACTCTTTAAGTAATCTTCTTCAATAAAAAAGATTTTGTGTTTTACTAGAATAAACTTACATGGGTTATGCTCACTTTCTTATGGCCTTGATTACTTAAGAAAGCAGTCTTCTTACTTAGGAAAGAGATGAGGTTCTTTTTCTTTCTTTCTTTCTTTTTTAAAAAATATTTATTTATTTATTTGTTTGTTTGAGAGAGCTGGAGAATGAGAGCCTGAGAGCAGGCCAGTGGGGGCAGGGAGCAGAGGGAAAGGGACTGCGCTTAACAATGGAGCCCACTGCAGGACTCTGAGAACATGACCTGAGCCAAAACCAAGAGCCGGTTGCTTAACTGACTGAACCACCCAGGAGCCCCAAGATGTGGTTCTTCATGGTCATATTCCCTCCTACGTTTATGTTAAAAATCTTTTATCTTGGTTTTGGTTAAGTAGAGAACCAAATACCATTTTTCAGTAATCCATCATCTTATCTTGATTGAATCCCAGAAGGCCCTGGAAAATCACAAAGGATTTGTTCTTTCACCTTATAAACAGAGCAGTGCTAGTAATAATTGTCTTTATTTGATACGTTACTATTGATGAGATGCACGGGAAGAGTTGCCAAATCAGAAGAGATGCTCAGCTTTCCCTGGGGTAGACTGGTATTAGACAAATTGTTATTAATATAAATATTTCAGAAATTGTATGTTGTATAGGAAGTTCCTAAAGACCCATCAATGTCCTCACTAGCAATGATTTGTTTCTATTTGTCAGAGTCCTTATGCTGCTTTGTCAGATTTTAGATGACTACAGTATAGTGTTTTCAGTTGTAATTTTAAAATTTTTAAAATGTTAACTTGGTTTCAACTTTTCTTCTTTATTGTGAATCTCACATTTGCTAGGCCATTAGTTTCAATTGGGGGGTTCTCAGCACTTACCTATGGAATTTTTTTACTATATAGATGTTTAAGACCTATTCTGCTTAACTGAATCTAACTTGATATTTTTGATATATTTTTGGGATATTCTAACTGTATGCTCAGTATATTCATGATATATTGTATCAAGATTATTATAAGTTACATTTAAGGGTTTTTTGTTTTTTTTTTTGTCTCTATAGGGATTATGTTCACCCATTTTTATAAGTTAGATATAATACCCTGTCTTCTTTGAAAACAGGGTTAATCATTATGTTTATGGACATTCTGTCTAAAACCTTTTTGGGATTCACTTTTATGTTGTTTTTCATGCCACAGAAACAACTACATGTCCTTGTCAGTTGCATTATTGTTCTTGTAATGAAGTCTCATCAGATCTTTCATTTTTAAAAAGGATCAGTAGCAAGTTAACCAAAGCTTTTGTACGTCTTTTGCTACTTACAGATGGTTTTGTGTATTTTCATCTGATGTCCCTGAGAGCACTTGCAATCAGGTACAAGCTAGAGTGCTTCATTCTCAACAAAGAAAGGTTATCTCAGAGCCCCATGGAAAATTATTTTGCCAAGTATCGAGTACAGGCTTTTTATGGTATAGTTGAAACAACTTTGAGACCATATCAACGAACTGAGTCAGGATTTCAAGAACTCTAGTTGACAAGTAGACGGGTTAGTGAGACCGCTGATGCAAGGTCGAGTGGAACAAAAACTAATTACACAGACCTGAATGAAACTGATGAGGGATGATTATGGATTTTGTTTAGAATACTGCTGATGTTTTAAAGCAGACAGACCCATAAATACAGAGAACAAACTGATGGTTGCCAGAGGGGAGGGGTGTGGGGATGGGCAAAATGGGTGGAGTGGGAGGTACAGGTTTCCAGTTGTAGAATGAATAAGTCATGGGAATAAAAGGCATAGCATAGGCGATGGAGTCGATGATGTTGTTCGGTGACAGATGGTAGCTAGGCTTGTGGCAAGCAAAGCGTAACCTATGGAGTTGTGGAATCACTAAGTTGGACACCTGAAAGTAATGTAACATCACAGGTTAACTATGTTTCAATTAACACAAAGAATATTGCTGATGTTTTAATGTTCTATTTTCTGGATGCATAAGGGACTTATTTCTTTTTTTTTTCTTGCGCTATCTGTAACTCATAATAATTTAGCAAGCCATGCT